TAATTTTAATAAATTTAATTTTAAAATAATCTTAATAAATAATTTAATTAATTCAAATTTAAGTAACTAATTTTAAACATAAATATTACGATATTATTAATGATATATATTTATAATCCGGTTTTAAGAATTAAATTAGAACAATTCATCTATGTAATTTTATATTTCCTATAATTTAAAGTTTGATGCGACGTTGCGGCGCAATTTATAGTGTGTTGTGGTGTTACATAACGGTTTTTGACTGCAACAATCGTAATGCGTTCTCTTATCGCGTTGCGTTGATATTGTGTCGCAATAACCTTCAAAAACATTACAATGTGGGCATTATGCTACGTTGTGACCATAATTTAGTACTATGGTTCATGCATGCACCTCGTGAGAGTCATTTTGCTGTGGTTAAAAGGATCCTACAATATCTCACCGGCACAGTAAACTATGAGTTGCTCTTCTCTGCTATAAATACTTAAGGATACCCTACACTTAAGAGAGCTTTTGGAGGATTTATTTTGAGCTTTTGGGAGAGACGCGGCAACACCATTTCCATATTATTCTTCTTTTCTATATCTTTTTTTCATGGTGTCCTCCATAGTCGAACTTCAAATGGGTTGCGGCTAGGCCCTCGAAATAGGCTAGCTCGCTGGAGCGGTTCATGGTGGTGGTTCTAGGCTTCACGAAAGCATGCCTTTAGGAGTTTTGTCCTCCTTGCACTTTTATCTCTTTATTTTATCCATGGGTTTGTACTTAAAAATGATGAATGATGAACTTAGCCCCGCCATGAACTAATTTATTTGGCATTGGGTTTGTTATGGATGATATTTATTGTATGTTAATGGATGATTAAGTATTTTCATGTGTATATGTTGTTTCTCATTTTGTGTTTGTTAAAATGCTTAGTCTTGTAAGAGCTTTCGATATATAACCATTTTCTAAGTATAGATACCTAATATCAAGAGAGTTAGGTTAGATCTACGTGAGCAAGGGAGCTAAACTGAGATGGTTAGGTTCTAATCTGACATAGAGATAAAGAGAGGGTTTTAAACGACTAAAAATGATATGACTTAATCGATAGGCTACTGCTGCAGTTCATGCTACGAGGTATTGTCGTAGCAATAGTTTTATCAGGTTTCTTACTAGAGATAATCTAGGAACAGTTCTAGCAAATCCTGTCAGGCAGCATAGACATAAAGTTCTTAGATCATCTCAGGCATAGAATAAATTCTCACTATAGCAAACCCAACCAATTACCCCTATAGAATCTTATTTGTATGAGATTGTCAAGTCTTATTCCAGATCTCAGATTTATCTTGCCTTAGCACAAATTTTCTTGTTACTTCAGCATTCATTAAACTTTTTCCACAACATAAATTTCTTCTTACGTCCACACTTCACAAAATTTCCTACCACATCATTACTTTTCACTTGTTCATACAATTTTTCACTACAGCTAGAATTTCTTCCATTGTATATACCATTACACATAGCTATACTTAATGACACCCTTTTGCTATAACATATTTTAAAGTACCTCCAATCCCCGTAGAAACGATACTCACTCACTATTGTATTACTTGATCAACTGTGTATACTTGCAGACATTTTGCGTTCAATTTATAGCACTCAGAGCACGCATCAGGTACTAACCTACTAGGTATCGATACTACCCTTAGTATCAATACCAAATTTGGTTTTGATTTTTGAAAAATTTGTTGAATATTGATACCCTTACTTAGGGTATCAATACCCATACCATGGTATCGATACTCATTTGAGTATCAGTACCAAAATTGGCTACTAAAATCCAAAATCTAAGAATGGTATCGATACCTTATGAGAAGTATTGATACCTTATGAATAGTAACAATACTCTCAGCCAAGATATCTTACAAATTTTAACTACAAAAAAGGGCATTATCGATACTATTCATCCACAACCGATACCCAATCCCATAAATACCCTATTTTAGGCACGAAAATGCAACCTAACACTACATTCATCCCCTTAAGACCATCAATTGATGTTTAAGTCTTATTTAAGTGGATAGAGGTCATGTGGAGTCATTTTGTATGCTTTAAAACACCTTAAACTATAACCCACCATGAATATGCTCATATGCTTCATAAACTACTGCAAGCTAAATAAGTACCCTTAGTGATCCACAAATGATATTGGAAGGTTAGAAATGTGTTACCTTAGTGTTAAAATGTCTCCCAAATCAACCAAGAACCAACTTCTCTTTACCCTTGGTTTTGGAGCCTTCTATAATCTCTTTCACTAATTATACCAAAGAAAATAATGAGTTACTAACTTATTTAGATGTTAAGAAGATTAGAAACATGATTCCAAACCTCTAAAAATGGATTGGGAGCATTAAGGAACCCTAAAAACCTAAAACTCACTTTAAAACCCCACTTAGGTTTTTTATAGCCAAATCTTAAAATAGAAGGCTTGAATGAAAGCTTGGGATGTAGGGATTTCATTTTTTACCTTAGAAATTCTGAAATGTGATTGAGGTTCAACAAGTTCTCAGATTTGCTAAACTTAAAGATGGAGAATGAAGGATTTTATAAAGGGATGAAGAAGAAGACAATGAGACAATTTCTCTTTACATGACATAAGCTCCAATAAATAGAATCAACCTTTAGAGAATTTTAGGGGCAAACTACCAGTTTGTTCCTTCCATCTTTAGTACTAACCTAAAAATACCATTTTAAGTTTAAATGGGCTCAAGCCCAATTCATGAGAAGCCCAAACTAACTCAAACATTTAATTGGTCTCTTAACTTACTGTAAAGTCCACTTGGGTTTACCCGAAACTACTAACATGAGATTTGGGGCATTATAATTTGACCCAAATTTGAGGATTGTATTAGTGACAAAATGATAATGAAAAGTAGATTTCATCACAATTATGGAGCTACCATGACAACATAGATGTAACGTAATTCAGACTATCACAAGTTAATGTTATAAAATGGTAAATTTAGTAGTGACAAAATATTATTATCAAATTATGAATAATAATAATGACTACTTAATATGTTGTAACTATTACATCATTTCCCGTGAATAATAATTGGTGTTAATTCAAGCATTTCATTAGTGATCAAATAGAAATGTCACAATTACTCATTTTAATAGTGATAAAAATAATTTTCATCACAAAAAAATAACGACTAAGCCTAGTGACAAAATGTTGTCGTCAAAATTATAGATAAAAATAATGACAACTTAATATTTGTCATTAATAAATCTTTTCCCATGAAAAATAAGTTGATGCAAATTCGAGTATTTCACTAGTGACAAATTGATTATGCCAACTTACGATAGTCACAACTAAACACTATTAGTGGCGACTTACTTGTGATGTAATTCTAAACTGTCATAATTATTACTAAAAGAGTGACCAAATAAAAATATGTCACAATTACTCTTTTCATTGGTGACCTAAACAATTTTCATCACAAATCATCCACCAAGCATAGTGACAAAATGTTTTTGTCACAATTATGGATAATAATAGTGACTACAATATGTTGACACTATTAGATATTTTCTCACAAAAAATAAGTTGGCATCAATTCGAGCATTTTATTAGGGACAAATTGATAATTACAACTTACTTTGGTCATAATAAAATAATATTAGTCACGGTTTAGTTGTGATGAACTTTAAAATTATCACAATTATTATCTACAGAGTGACTAAATAAAAACAAGTGACAATTACTTATTTTAAATATAAAAAAAATAAAATTCAACACAAATAACATTTTTTTATGATGTAATTTTTAAATGTCACAATTAAATGATCACTAAAAAAGATAATTCTTGTAGTGAGAGGTTGCATGAAATTACAAGAGATTTTTTAATGTGGGAGAGGGAGTCGTCAATGCTTGAAGCAATCAGTACAAACTAACATGTTGCCATGTTGCAGCCTGGGCTTCTACTTCGCTTCAGTTGGTGCAGTAATGAGGCACGTGGTATAATAAATAAAAAATTCAAGTTGGAACCTGAAAATGGACTATTATTCCATTAATGTAATATGGTAACCTTAAGAATGTTTAAATCTGAACTCCATGAATTAGTTGTTTCGTTGCTTTATTTTTGTCGTTTTCCTTGGAGTTGTCCTTGAAGAATGAACAATATGATTTGTAAATGCAAGTGGCCATGTGTTCATTGCATTATCTAAGGCTTCAAAGTTGAAACCAACATGACTTGGAATCAACGTGTTCCAATACTATCATAGTCACCTGTACAAACCGAATAAAAATGCGCATTTGTAGCATCCACTTATCAGAAACCTACCTTACTATACATCTATCCATATATACAGCCTATAGTTACTTCAAAATTATCTGATTCAACTTGATTTTTAATAATTTTGACGTTGTGAATATAGTAAATTATATTAAGAGGATTGTTATGATAAAAGATTATGTTGTATCTAATTTGAATTAATCGATTATTGAATCCGAGTTTCTTAAATTGTTTGCTCTTTAGGTATCACAAGCAGCGCAAGCTCATTTTTTTCATCATTAAACTTGAAAATTTCAGATCCCAGCTAGGAGTCTTTATAATCCAATGCAACGTTTAGTTGCTAACTCACCAAGGCATCATCTGATGTTTTCTTCATTACCTGCTAATTAAGAACCCTAAAACCATGATGAAGCTACAGCCTTTGGTTAATTGGTTCATGAAGGATCATAATATATATAATTTGCCAAAAATAAACTTGCAGTCTGTTACTAGATAACTATCAGAAAACGTAAAATTTTGAAAGTTCATTTTAGCCATTCAAACTGCATAATATAACTTTCACTTTACAAACATAACTCAAGCGGGTGCACACATGAATGGAAAACTGAGCTTCCCAAGAAGTCAAAACAGATAAGCCAGAAACAATTTGCATAATATTTTATAACCCTTCTTTTGTTTTTTCTATCATCTATATCTTAGACAGACTTAAAACTCCCTCTTATTATTCCTATAAATCACCTAAGGAACTCGTCAGCCTTGTTTCATCCAGTTCCAAAACATGGCTAAGATATCTTTCTTGTTGTTTTCTTTGTTCATAATAGTAGCTTCTGCAATTATCAATGGGTCAGAAGCAAAGGAGAAGGTTGGGATATATGAGCTGAAGAAAGGCGATTTGTCTGTTAAATTCACGAACTGGGGAGCAACTATTGTTTCTGTCATATTCCCCGATAAATATGGTTAATTTCTCTTTTTACTCTAGCCCTTCGATTGTCTCTCCAAAAGTTTACAACTTCAAGTTGTAACAAGTGGAGATCTCTTTTTAAAGTTTTGGATTTTCATTGATCACTTATTTCAAGAGTATATTTGTTGTCTTTGTTTCTGGTGATAATTTTCAGGTAAACTGGGTGATATTGTTCTGGGATATGACTCGGTCAAGGAGTATATGGTAAATCTTGTTGTAGACACTCGTTTTTTTCCGGGTCTTTTTTTAAATTTATTATTATTATTATTATTTATTATTATTATTATGTTTATTATTATTAATAATTATGTTACATATATATTTTTGCAGGCCTAATCCCTAAGCCCAATAGCAGAACCAACCCAAACAAATTAGGGTTTTAAACCCTAAACCTCAAATCCTCAGCTTCCCCGCCGAGCCATCGAGCCGATCGTCGCCGTTGTCATCCACAGTGACCCTCAACAGTGACAAATCCATCAGTCAGCCAAATCAATCAGAGAAATAAAAATAGAAAATGGAAGCAAGGATAAATAATATCCTGAGGCAATCTTCTATTCTATCATATCCATCAACAGCAAGCCATAATCCAAGACACATGCAAGATTAAAAAGGAGCAGAGATGATATCAAAAAGGAATTTCGGTGGGGAACCATTCGGGGGTTTTATAGAACAGAGGGAACCCAACTAAAAACTCTCAATCAGATTCGAACCAAATACCAGAAAAAAATCGAAAGGAAAAGAACATATTGAGAGAAAAAAAAAGAAAGAGAGGGAGATCTTACCCTTGTGGAAAACCCCATCATTATAGCCTCGTCAGAGTGTAGAGAACCAGTATCGAAGGTAAACTTTTCCCTATTATGGATCTAGGGTTTTTTAATAGGGGTTTCGATTTTGTTTGGGGTAGGAGAATGGTTGATGTTCAAAGAGAGAGAGAATAGAAAGGCTAGAGGCTGGCGTTTGGGTCGTTTACCTACGCCATCGTCGTCGTCTACGGAGGCCTCTGGTTTACTCTCCACGGCGGATACAGAGGCTGAGAGGGGAAAAGTTGAGAGCATTGTTTTGCTCTCTGTTTTAAGAGAAATGGAAAAATGAGAGAAATAGGGAGATGGCCGGTTTAAGGCCTTGATATTGGCCTTATATTTGGCCATCAATGCGACACCGTTTTACCAAGGGTGTATCTGCAATTGTGCGTATGGGTTAACTACACATTAGGTCCCTAATACTTTGTAATCGCATGTTTCAACCATTATCTGAAGTTCATATTTCTTTGATTTCGAGCCTTTATTTTTCATTACTTATGTTTGAGTCCTGTTATTACCTACTATGTTATTTTGGTTATTATTTGATTTTGGTCATAATATTTTCTATTATTTCATTTTTGTCCCTGTGTTATATTTGGGTTTAATTATGATTCGGCCTTCATGTTTGTGATTCATTGCATTTTAGTCCTAAGTTTCATTGTTGGGTTATTTTCATTCCTAGTGTCTGAATTTGTTTAAAATGTAGATTAGGGCTCTGGTATGTTTATATTTTTTGATTAGGTCATTAAAATTTCTATTTTTTAGTTTGAACCCTTCAAATGTCTATATTTTCTATTTATACCCTTTAAGTTTCCATTTTGCTGTTTTAGCCATGTAAATTTATGTTGTTTACATTTTAGTCCTCTAGGTTTTTATTTTTACTGTTTTACTCCCTATGTTTTGTTTTTGCCATTTTAGTCCCTTTAGTTTGTGTTTTTATTATTTTAGTCCTTCAAATTTATGTTAATTTTATTTTAGTCTTTTAAATATTTGTATTTTAATGATTTCATTTTAGTTTGTAATGTTTTTTATGCTAGTCATTTATGTATGAATGTATTTTACTTATTTTTATGGTTATGTGTATTATGAAAATAATGTTTTCCATTTTATTTAATGTGATCATGTTATTTTGCATTTTCAATTACATTTATTTCCATTGTATTTTATCCATGGTTGAAATAGTCGAATCGTTTTAATAACGCGAATTTGTAGAATGGGCGTGGAAAGCCTTGCTTGATCGAAGCATTGCAATCCGATACGACATTTGAACAAAATGTGAACTTGAAATAAAATCGATATTATTTTGCTAATTAATTCCTTTATTTTAAGTTAAACAATGTGATGCATATTACTAAATAGTGATTTAACTTATGCAAATGTTGATTATCAATTTTATATTCGATTCGCATTTTTTTACAATCTATCGATGAGGGAATATTCTTTGCTAATGAGAAATAGTCGAGTTAGTTTTCCCGACGGATGATTGCTAATATCAAGATTTCTTTTCAAATTAAAGAATTTTCTCTACTTAATTAATTTGAAGCAAATTAATATTTCAAAAAATTGATCACATTTTAACTTCTATATTTGATTCATATTTTCCACCATTTACAACAAAATGTAAGCGACACAGTACCAATTTTGGGCGTTGTGGGGTGTTCATATTTCTCCACACGTAACCGACTCTCGAACCCGTTTTAATCGAATCTTTGGCAAACGCAGATCAAATTTTCTCTTAAAACGATTTTTCTTAAAATGGTTTTAAAAGACGTTTTTAGGTGTTCGACCTACCTAATCCAAAGGTCGATGGCGACTCCATATTCAATTTAATTCCAGTTAATCCAAAATCCTCAATTTTTCCAAATAAAAATCATAATCGTTTTTTAAAATAATATTTAATTGTTTTACCTAAAAAATGGTTATGATAACTTGGCGACTCCACTGGGGACTTTTTTAGAGAGTCAAGTTGTAGGTCGCTTACACGTTGTCGTTGTGGTCGAATTTATGAGTTCGAGTCTTTAGTTAATCTATGATCCTTTTATTGAAGTTTTTAATTGCTTCATTTTTAGTTGTCATACTAAATTTGATTTTTTGCTTTCAGGTTGATCCAAGTTTTGTCGAGTTTTTTTTTTTCGTTTTTTGAGTCAAATGTAGGTACGTTCCTCCTCACACACATCACATGCATTTGCATAACATGAGCTCTAGACACGAGCTTTGATCCAAATTAGTCAGGGTTATTGCTTTACTCTTGTAAGAATATAATCTTCGTATGAGTTTTAGCAATTATCCCATGGGATACATATCTTATACCTTCGTAGGGATTTATTCCTCGTATGGGTATAAGGTAGTGAATCCCCTCGAGTTGAACTCGTTTCTTTCAAAACCTGTAATGGGTGAGGATCGAGGGTTTGGCAGCCCAAGGGGGCACCGACGTCAAGGACAATTCGAGTCACTTTTTTTGTTAGAGCCGAAACCATGCATACAGTGATCCGTAGAACGGTCACCCTAGGTATAGATATAATAAACCTCTGTCCGTTAGTAGGTACCCAAATTAAGTATACACAAAGGAGGAATGTTTCTGAACCTTTCCTTTTTGCTTTAAATTTTGTTAAATAATTGCATGCGAACTAGATACCATGCGGTTAAGATTAATTTCTTGAAAAAAAAGCATTTAGGGTAGATATCATGTCTGGGTAGGAATGTTATTTAATTAAAGCATGTTCGGGTAGATATCATGTCAGGGTAGGTGTTATATTCATCTTTGAATAACATTTTATCTGTATCAATTATTTTACATGTACTAACTTTTTTTCTCTTTTGTTTGTGTACACTAACTTATTTATTTTGTTTGTGTCATCTTTTTCATCCTTATTTGCATTGCATGACAACATCATAATATAATGCAAAAGTGTTGATCTGCAAGGGAATATTCCAGAGAAAATTCTCTCAAGAAGAGATAAAAGTTTTCAATCAAGCAGTCACATATAAAGACATGCATCGAGGGCTTAAAAAAGTTCAGAGTACCAAAATGAGACTTGCTCGATGATCGTGCAACATTCCAGACTGAAATGACGATCTATTCCAACAGTAAATTCTTATCTACGATCCTACCAACGTAAACCACCAAAGAGTGACACACTAACTTCAACACCGCAAGGGCATCAACCGAGTTAGATTACAGAGCATTGAGAGGTATCATTTTTTAGGACGAAGATCCGAGATGAAGTAGTGATCCACTTCAGACTCAGCCATCTAGGAGAAGGCATGTTTGTAAAGTAGACTGTCTTGTAATATGAAACCTTTTATTTCTGGTGAAAATTATTCTATGATATTCATCGTTGGGATCAACATTTTTGTATCTGTATTTGCATCTTTGCATTTATTATATGCATTTCATTTTTAAGGATTTTCATAAAAACATGGAGCTAATTCATGGAGGATTTAAGGAAGTGGTCCTAACCACATTGAAAATAAAAGCAAGAAGTTGAAATCAACACGATGGAAGCTTGTTCGGCTGGTTGCAGGGTTGAGTCTACCAGGACAATCTGAGAAAAGAGTCTTCTTTTCTTGAGGTCTATGATGTTGATATCACATAGGAAGCTCCAGTCATTCCGCTGAGAATTGTAAGGCACTGAAGATTAAAATCTAGAACCTGATGGATTCAGGGGCATGGACAATCGAAGAAGGATAGGGGCATTGCATCTACCATTTGCATCCATAGAGATTATTTTGTTTGAACTAGTTTTGTTCTACCTTTAATATTTTCTTAAATATTTTTAATCTTAATGTTTGAACTTATGATGCCTTCTAAGGTAGAAAATTGAACAAGTTTTAATCTTTAATTCTTTGAATATCAAATGAATTAAATATTCTCTTATTTCTTCAAGAATTATAGATTTTTGATATATGACAAGATTAGACCCTTTATTATTCTGTCTAAACCAAAAATTAAATCTCTTGATTTTGTTTACCCGAAATAATTCCTGGTCACTACAAAGAACCAATTTTTGACATTCCCTCTTTTTGAGACCTTGAAACATTCTTTGTGACATTGAAACATTGCATTTATCCTTTCGATACACAAAAAGTCATACCCATACCTTTCTTTTAGCCAATAAAGTCACCATCGTCTTCTTAAACGTCAAACCAACATTTTTCTACCAATAAGACCTACAGACATTGAATACAAGATGTTTGCTTGAACATGATCCTTCATGCAATAAGACAACGTGGGGCATCTCGCATCAATTTTCTGAAGAAGAGCTTAAACAATTTAGGCATGCTGAGAGCAAGAAGAAGTAAAAGAAATTATTTCAAAAATAATTCTATCATGCATTAATTACATTGTTTTCATGTAACTAAAAAATTAATCCTGAAAATCTATCCCCTGGGGATACCTCTTCT